GCACGTCAGTGTCTCACCTTGCGTGCAGAGCTCCCCCTGGTAGCCAAGGTTGCAATGGCAGCGTGAGCCGCCGCTGTCATAGTCATTAATGCAGAAACTGTCGGGGGGGCAGACTGTCTCATCACACGGGACATCATACACCCGAGGCTCCGCCCCCTTCCACACTGTCATTGAGGGGCTGGGGGTGGGAGGTGCTGTAGTGGAGGGGGCGGGGCTTATCCTGCGGGTGACAGTGGAGGTCGTAGTTGTGGTAGGGCGGGTAGTGGTAAGCGCAGAGGGTCCAGATGTGGTGGTTAATGTCCAGACACTAATAGGTGAGGTGAAGTTGCTAATTTTGGGTGCAGGTGTGCTTTTGGGGACAGGTGTGTTTTTAGGCACAGGTAGTGTTTTCATTCTGTAGATGACGTTTCCATTCCCAGGTGTTCCAGTGCGGGATCTGAGCTGAGAGCGCCGGTTGCTGGTCTTGACGGCAGGAAACGGCTTCAGCTGCAAGAACAGTAAAATTTGGAGGCTCATCTGGGATTGAACTACTGTTAATGGCGATTCAGACACACTACAGGCCAAAAGTACGAAAGCAAGAAATCATTTTAAAGTATCAGGTTATTTCACAATTAATTGACTGACAACCAGCCCAACATATTCATTACTGTCTAGTTTCCCCAAAGCAGATTGTTCCAGAACATTCCGTTGTTGTTTCAGTGCTGGACTCTCACTGTAATGTATTCTATTTTAAAGGCCATCCTCACCCTCTGTGTTGAAAGCCTTACACTGGGCAGTGTTTAATATTTTACCCCATCTTAATATGAACCTTCAGAACCACCTGAAAGGTTCTGACTGAACTGGCTTTTGGCCTGTAGTGTATGATGTATTATCATATGACAGAACATAAGGAACCTCCTCTATGTACCTCCTCTATGAAGATGTCATAGTCAGAGTCATCAACATCAAAGCCATCCTCATCTTTAGCTTTAGAGTTTGTGATGTAAAGATCATAATCTCCACTGCCCACATCAGCTGCACCTGAGAGATAGAGATAAAAGAGGAGTGAGAAGTCATTCTTGTGTTTTTTGAACAGTTGAGATCACAACAGTGAAGATGATTGAGTGATGCCCCACCAACCTTTGATTCAGCTTAGATCAGTTATTAAAAGAAAGGAATGCTCCTCACCTGCTAACCTCTGGAATCACTGACAGTCAAACTAACAACAAATCAGCCTCCAGGTCCAGTTCAACCTCCATTTCAGCGTAAGAGGAGGGACATTTCGCAAATTGCAAAACCTATGTGACTTTAAAGAGATGAGATTCAAAGCTCTCCAGATATGCTAGCTAGCAAGGTTAGCCCACAGGGTCAAAGCACAACATTGAGCTGATGCTGTTCATGAAAAGTGAGTTGTTGTGAATGTTTTAACAGTGAAGCTCTGATCTGAGCTGTATGCAGTGCTGACAGTTAGTCACTGTTAGTTAGTCAGTAAATGCTACAGTCAGTGGTCCAGGTTTTCTTTACCTCATAAAATTTTATGTTGAACATCATTGAAAATGTGGAGTACGAAGCTGAAGCAGAGATTTTCTAACAAAGTGACGGCTGTGTGTTACAATCAGAATAGGCTTGTTAGACGTCTGCAGTCTAAGACATCACACATTCAAAGCCTGGTTTCTGTCAGAAAATAAAAGCTTAAAAAAGGAATATTGAGCTACTCCTGCTGCTGTGGGGCTGGTTACGTTACGCTGTCTCTGAAACACCTACATAGTCTAGACCATGCAGAGGCTGAGCTTTTTTAGCTGTTCATTTTTCATGTTTGTAACTGACAAGTAGAAAGTACGATATGATATTAAAGCATCCTGCTACTGGCTCATTTGGCTGTGGATGCGTTTGTGGCAGGTCTCCCCTGCTGCATGTTCAATAAAACTGCGTTGATTTGAAGCTCTATCTTTCCTGTGTGTTCTTCTTGTCTGTGAACGTTAAATTTGGTGTCAGAAGTGGGATTGTCCACTTGATGACTGGACGCAATTGGCAAAGCCAGTGGCAAAATGGCAGAGAGGACCAAACCTGTCCGAGAACTGTGCGATGAAGACAGGCAGCAGAGGGCAGTGGTCAAGACGATATGAGAAGGTTCAACAGTGGAGCCTGGCGACAACAGGTCTAGTACAAGGAAGACTGATAGCACGGCCAGCCGCCATCCTCCAGGTGGGCTCCACTGCTGAGCCTTATCACATCGTCTCAACCGCTGTCTTCTACCGCTTGTCTTCGCCGTGTTGATCCTCCTCGCAGTTCTTGGCTGGGCAAAGGCATCTCCACAGAATTTCACTGCTGGGTTTGCCTTTTACCTCCAGACTGCTAGGGGACAATCCCACTTCTGACACCAAATGTGCGATCAGTGTAGAAGAAGAAGATGTGGGAAACAGTATTTCGAACAAGTGCTCTTTTATTGACAGCAGCAGGGGACACCTGCCGCTCAATGCTGGCTGCTATGGCTGGGTTAGGGTTAGGGTTAACTAACAACTTATTTTTCATCACTTTTAAGTCTCTCTCGCCACCGCCACAGCAGTACCCGTGGTGCTCTGTGCTCATCGCTCCACATGGCCACACCTCCAGCAGGTCCATGGCCAAACAAGCCAGTAGCAGAATGCTACAATATAATATAATATAATATAATATAACACAATATATCATATAAGTATAATATGAAAATATAATGCACTAATGTGGAACACCAGCTATAAACACACAAATCACTGTGGGGAAGTGTTCAAACCTCACCAGTCTAAGTGAGTATGTGTATGCGTGTGTGTGTGTGTGTGTGTGTGTGTGTGTGTGTGTGTCGGGGGGGTTAAGGGGGTCCTCTCAGTGGGGAGCTTCTGGTCTTAATCTTGTCTGATTCGAGGTGGGCTGGGGGAGGGGCTTCGATTTCAGGCAGACCGTACATGCATAGTGTGTGTGCGTGTGTGTGTGTGTGTGTGTGTGTGTGTGTGTGTGTGTGTGTGTGATGTTAAGATGTTTAATTTAATTACCCTGCATTGACCCCCCCACCCCCACCCCACCCCAGTTAGCATGCAGACAGAATCTGGTGACCTGCAGTTCATAACAGTTATACAACCACAACACATCACTGGCCTTCTGCATCATCCACACCAGTGCAGTTTACCTCCTGTAGGTCTCACATCTCACAGTCACAGTACAGGTACAGTACAGTCAAACCAGTTACAGTACACACTCTCCAATCACATTACAGTTACAGTACAACAATACAGTACAACCCAAACCACAGTACACACCCTACAGTCAAACTACAGTCACACTGTAGCAACAGAAAATCTCACAAACACTTTAAATCATCGTTGTGCTGTTAACAGTGTTCACTACTGATGTGTGTGTGTGTGTGTGTGTGTGTGTGTGTGTGTGTGTGGGTTACCGAGTGTGCGGACGGGTGGGTTTATAGGACTCGGTGGGCTGACCCCATGTGTGTTTACAGCTCTGATGACGAACTGGTACTCCGTTTCAGGAATCAGGCCTTTCAGAACCATCGAGCTGGACTCCACCGGCTCACGAATATATGTCCACTCAGTGTCCATCTCTGGCCTGTCCCACACACACACACACACACACACACACACATTTACATTCATTAAATATAACTCTATTAAAAGATTCACATCTGATATTTTTGGTGTCTTTATCCTGAGCTGCATTTATAGTATCTGTGTGGTTTTATTGTTATTAATGCTCATAGTTCATTTTTGCATTATTGCCCAGACTCTCTGTATCTCTTAGAAGTAAACAGACTGTTTTTCTCACTCTCCCCTCAAGACTGATATATTGTTTCTTTTGACAAAACTGACATAAAACATTTTTTGTCTAATTTCAAAAACTACAGCTGCCTTTTACATTTCATGATTGACCAATAGAAATATGGGGACTGTTGATGAGCAGCCATTTTCAGGTCTCTCCAGAGATGTTCAACTGGGCTCAGGTCAGGGCTCTGGCTGGGCCACTCAAGGACGTTCACAGAGTTGTCCCTAAGCCACTCCTGTGTTGTCTTGGCTGTGTGCTTGGGGTCATCGTCTTGTTGGAAGGTGAACCTTCGGCCCAGTCTGAGGTCCCGAGCACTCTGGTTCAGGTTTTCATTAAGAGTATCTTATCAACTTTCCCTCAACCCTGATCAGTCTCCCCATCCCAGCTACTGAAAAACAACCCCAGAGCATGATGCTGCCACCACCATGCTTTACTGTAGGGATGGTATAGGGCAGGTGATGAGCAGCACCTGGTTTCCTCCGGACATGATGCTTAGAATTGAGGCCAAAATTTTCAATTTTGGTTTCATCAGACCAGACAATCTTGTTTCTCACAGTCTCAGAGGCCTTTAGGTGTTTTTTTACAAACTCCATGTGGGCTTTCATGTGTCTTTTACTGAGGAGAGGCTTCTGTCTGGCCACTCTGCCTTAAAGCCCAGATTCGTGTAGTGCTGTATTGATGGTTGACCTTCTGGAAGTTTCTCCCATCAGCACACAAAATCTTTAGAGTTCAGCCAGAGTGACCATTGGGTTCTTGGTCACTTCTCTTACCAAGGCCCTTCTCCCACAATTACTTATTTTGGTGGGGCGGTCAGCTCTAGGAAGCATCCTTGTTGTTCTAAGCTTCTTCCATTTAAGAGTTATGGAGGTCACTGTGCTCTTGGGAACTTTCAGTGCAGCAGAAATGTTTTTGTAGCTGTCTCCAGATCTGACTTCCACACTGTCCTGTCTCTGAGCTCTACAGGCAGCTCTTTCCTCCTCATGGCTGGTTTTTGCTCTGATATGTATTGTCAGCTGTGAGACCTAATATAGACAGGTCGTTCCAAATCATGTCTAATCAACTGAATTTACCACAGGTGGACTCCAATCAAGGTGTAGTAACATCTCAAAGATGATCAAGAGAAATGTGAGCCCCTCAGAGCTAAATTTCAAGTGTCACAGCAAAGGGTCTGAATACTTACGCCCATGCAATATTTAGTTTTATCCAAATTTTGGATAAAGTTTGTCACTTTGTCATTATGGGGTATTGAGTGCAGAATGATGGGGAAAACTAGAATTTTATTATTATTTCTAATTTTAGCACAAGGCCACAACATATGTAAAAAACAAACACTTTTGAAAATAAACCTAGAAAGCTTACAGGGAAGCTTGACCAGTCCTTTGCACTTGTAATCGAATAGGGATGTCTTGGTACCCCAACACCTCATCACTTCTGTGTTCACAGTAAGGTAGGGGCTTTCATACCTGATATAGGCCACCAGGAAGTGCAGCACAGGAGCACTGCCCTCACTTTCTCCCTGTTGCCATGACAACGCCAGCTCTGTATCCGACACAGCAGCCACAATGGGCTGGGACGGGGGTGACGGGGGCATACACATTTCTGAGAGAGACAGAGAGAGAAAGATAGAGAGAGAGAAAGAGAGAAAAGATAGAGAGGGAATTGAGTCACTATTTATGTTGCATCTCCAGAGTCTAAATTCGGTAGCCGACTGTAGCCCCACAAAAGTCCATCTGATTCCGACTGTAGCCCAACAAGTCTGTCTGAACCGACTGTAGCCCACAAAAGTCCATCTGATTCCGACTGTAGCCCAACAAGTCTGTCTGAACCGACTGTAGCCCCACAAAATTCTGTCTGAACCGACTGTAGCCCACAAAATTCTGTCTGAACTCGACTGTAGCCCACAAAATTCTGTCTGAACTCGACTGTAGCCCACAAAATTCTGTCTGAATCGACTGTAGCCCCACAAAATTCTGTCTGAATCCGACTGTAGCCCCACAAAATTCTGTCTGAATCGACTGTAGCCCCACAAAATTCTGTCTGAACCGACTGTAGCCCACAAAATTCTGTCTGAACCGACTGTAGCCCACAAAATTCTGTCTGATCCGACTGTAGCCCCACAAAATTCTGTCTGAACCGACTGTAGCCCCACAAAATTCTGTCTGAACCGACTGTAGCCCCACAAAATTCTGTCTGGATCCGACTGTAGCCCACAAAATTCTGTCTGAACCGACTGTAGCCCCACAAAATTCTTTCTGAACCCGACTGAAGCCCCACAAAATTCTGTCTGAACCGACTGTAGCCCCACAAAATGTAGTTTTATGAGACTGGGTTAATAAAGTAATCAAGGACTTGACTGATGGATCAGTATTAAATAAATGAAATAATACAGCATTGTCCGGGTGTTCTCTGGCTGTTCCTCACCATGAGAAGCAGTGCTGACGTCCCTCGGCATGCTGGGACGGCCATCCCCAGCCCAGCCATATGCCCCAACACTCACCCGGTAATGTGTCGCTACCTTCAGCTTCCCGATCACCACATCCTGAAAAACAATGCTCTTATGTTCACCATCTGTTTAACTCACTTGACTAAGAACACTTTCCAGTAGCTTTCAGGATGGGATAAAATGGTTCCCCAAAAACGATTCCTTAAAGAATGGAACATTTTACTCACGAAACTTGCTTGTCCATCAAACTGCCCCTGAGACAAAAAAAGAACAAATGCTACAATGGATTCTTTCAGCTGTTCCTGGTCAGAGTTTTCAGATGTCACATATGTAATAACCATGTAATAATCATGCTATGAAACTCCTGCAGAGTGTTTGAGATGTTACACTGGTAAGACGTACAGTAGTGAGCATGTCCAGACTCAGAGGAACATCCAGAGTCACAGTCGAGCTAATGGGGCGGCCCATCCTCGTCTCTGTGTAGAACACCTGGAGAACAATCACACATACACACAGTGGTAAAGATACACAGGCACACCTTTCACTCATTCATTCATTCATTCATTCATTCATTCATTCATTCACTCACTCACTTATTCATTCATTCATTCACACATTCATTCATTCATTCATTCATTCACTCACTCACTCATTCATTCATTCATTCACTCACTCACTCATTCATTCATTCATTCATTCATTCATTCATTCACTCACTCACTCATTCATTCATTCATTCATTCATTCACTCACTCACTTACTCATTCATTCATTCATTCATTCACACATTCATTCATTCATTCATTCATTCACTCACTCACTCATTCATTCATTCATTCACTCACTCACTTACTCATTCATTCATTCATTCATTCATTCATTCACTCACTCACTCATTCATTCATTCATTCATTCATTCATTCATTCATTCATTCACTCACTCACTCACTCATTCATTCACTCATTCATTCATTCACTCATTCATTCATTCATGCATCAACACATGGTTAAATAGTCAGCATAGTTCCTAAAAACACCAGTCTATCCAAAATGCACAAAGGTAGTGCAGGAAGTTCAATTCAGTGAATTTTCTGAGACCCATTCCCTTTGAGAAGTGCATTACATGACCCTTCACCAGAGCTCTTCAGTGATGCTGGATCAGGACAAAGAAATGGTTGGATAATGTTTGGATGATGTTTTATTGGAGCGGGACAGTGTTGTTTACTACACTGGTCAGTGGTGTTGGGGTAGTGTTCAGTGGTTGTTGGTGTTTGGATAATGGTCAGTGGTGTTTGGATAACAGTCAGTGGTGTTTGGATAATGGTCAGTGGTTGTTGGTGTTTGGGTAATGGTCAGTGGTTGTTGGTGTTTGGGTAATGGTCAGTGGTTGTTGGTGTTTGGGTAATGGTCAGTGGTGTGTGGGTGGTGTTCAGTGGTTGTTGGTGTTGGGTAACAGTCAGTGGTGTGTGGGTAGTGTTCAGTGGTTGTTGGCGTTTGGGTAACAGTCAGTGGTGTGTGGGTAGTGTTCAGTGATTGTTGGTGTTTGGGTAACGGTCAGTGGTGTGTGGGTAGTGTTCAGTGGTTGTTGGTGTTTGGGTAACGGTCAGTGGTGTGTGGGTAGTGTTCAGTGGTTGTTGGTGTTTGAGTAACAGTCAGTGGTGTGTGGGTAGTGTTCAGTGGTTGTTGGTGTTTGAGTAACAGTCAGTGGTGTGTGGGTAGTGTTCAGTGGTTGTTGGTGTTTGGGTAACAGTCAGTGGTGTGTGGGTAGTGGTCAGTGATTGTTGGTGTTTGGGTAATAGTCAGTGGTGTGTGGGTAGTGTTCAGTGGTTGTTGGTGTTTAGATAACTCAGTGGTGTGTGGGTCATGTCAGTGGTTGTTGGTGTTTGAGTAATGGTCAGTGGTGTGTGGGTAGTGTTCAGTGGTTGTTGGTGCTTGGGTAATGGTCAGTGGTGTGTGGTTAGTGTTCAGTGGTTGTTGGTGTTTGGATAATGGTCAGTGGTGTGTGGGTAGTGTTCAGTGGTTGTTGGTGTTTGGGTAATGGTCAGTGGTGTGTGGGTAGTGTTCAGTGGTTGTTGGTGTTTGGGTAATGGTCAGTGGTGTGTGGTTAGTGTTCAGTGATTGTTGGTGTTTGGGTAATGGTCAGTGGTGTGTGGGTAGTGTTCAGTGGTTGTTGGTGTTTGGATAATGGTCAGTGGTGTGTGGGTAGTGTTCAGTGGTTGTTGGTGTTTGGGTAATGTCAGTGGTGTTTGGGTAGTGTTCAGTGGTTGTTGGTGTTTGGGTAATGGTCAGTGGTGTGTGGGTAGTGTTCAGTGGTTGTTGGTGTTTGGGTAATGGTCAGTGGTGTGTGGGTAGTGTTCAGTGGTTGTTGGTGTTTGGATAATGGTCAGTGGTATTTGGGTAGTGTTCAGTGGTTGTTGGTGTTTGGGTAATGGTCAGTGGTGTGTGGGTAGTGTTCAGTGGTTGTTGGTGTTTGGGTAATGGTCAGTGGTGTGTGGTTAGTGTTCAGTGGTTGTTAGTGTTTGGGTAATGGTCAGTGGTGTGTGGGTAGTGGTCAGTGATTGTTGGTGTTTGGGTAATGGTCAGTGGTGTGTCGGTAGTGTTCAGTGGTTGCTGGTGTTTGGGTAATGGTCAGTGGTGTGTGGTTAGTGTTCAGTGGTTGTTGGTGTTTGGGTAATGGTCAGTGGTGTGTGGTTAGTGTTCAGTGGTTGTTGGTGTTTGGGTAATGGTCAGTGGTGTGTGGTTAGTGTTCAGTGGTTGTTGGTGTTTGGGTAATGGTCAGTGGTGTGTGGTTAGTGTTCAGTGGTTGTTGGTGTTTGGGTATTGGTCAGTGGTGTGTGGTTAGTGTTCAGTGGTTGTTGGTGTTTGGGTAATGTCAGTGGTGTTTGGGTAGTGGTGAGCAGTTGTTTGTGGGTAGTCGTTGTGTCAGTAGAATGTTGGCTGTGTAGTGTTGGTGTTGAGATGGCACCAGGTCACGAGAGTGAATCATGTCTAAGTCTGAGCAGGAGGAAGTGGGACAGTGCCAGTCTGAGACCCAGAATTAGACTGTCTGACCTGCACCAACGGCAGTGTGTGGTGTGTGTTGTGTTTGTGTGTGTGATCTACAGCCAGGCTGGTTCAGTGCTGTCAGGACTGCAGCAGATAGCTGCCAGGTTTGGCTCCAATCAGAGAGTCTAAAGCTACGTCATCAACATTTCTGAGCTCTGTCTCTTCACGGAGCCTAACAGGAGCAGATACAATCATCTACACTCCGTGACATTCACTATGATCCAGCTGTTTGACCTGTAGGTAAGACTGGAAATACAGTAATATTTACAGTTATGTTTATTAAGGTACCATGGTAACAGGCCCTGCGGTTGGACTGGATTCTGAGGATGTGGCATATTATTAAACAATGTAAAAAACACAAGAGTGACAGTGTATCTATGTCTCTGTGTGTGTGCTGACTGTAAAATGCTTCTCCTCATTATAATCTGATTAGCAGTGGCATTCAGTGAACACCAGGAAACCAAATGTTGAAATGACGGATTTTAAAACAGACTCTAACGACACAAACACACCAATAACAGCAACAATGACAAAAAGAATGAAAAAGAAAGCAGTGTATTAATACACAAGTAATCCACACCGTGTGTGTGTGTATATATATATATATATATGTATATATATATATATATATGATTTCTCATGCTAATCTTTTTGCATGCTATGGTTGCTTGATGCTTTTTGAGGGAGCTCCACCCCTTCTTATCTCAGCCAATCAGGTTAATAAGTCTGACACTGACAATGGCCAGTTGGATTCAGCTCTGGAATCAATGCTGCTTTATGAGCTTATGTAGAAGAGGAGGGGGTTATAGTGGTACCCTGTAGCCGGTGATGGTGCTGACGTGTCTCCGAGGCATCTTCCACTGGACTCTGATTGCTGTACAGTTCATCGTCTGCAGCTGGATGTCCAATGGTGGGCTCAACCGCTCTGGAATGAACAACAACAAACACAATTATACACGCCCAGTCAGTCTGCTGAATGCTGAGTGTTGGTTTCCCTAGAGCAGGGCTGCCCAGTCCTGGTCCTGGAGATCTACCACCCAGCACAGTTTAGCTCTAGCCCTAATCAAACACACTTGATTCAGGTAATGAAGGCCTTCAGAGCCAGGTGTGTTGGACCTGAATGCTTCAGGGTGGGAGATCTCCAGGACCAGGACTGGTCACCCCTTATCTAGAGGATCAAGTGGGGTGAGAAGTCCAGACCAGAAACATAAGGATCCCATTGGGAACAGATACACTGCTCCTCAGGGATCCCATGCAGATACCCTCAACAGAGATTCCAGTGCAGAAATACTCAACACTTTTCCCAAATGCAGAGATCCCTAAGGAATATGACAGAGCTTGTCCATAAAAGAGGGTCTAACTACATATACCAGTCAGTCCATTTACCTCAAATCACCTTAAAGCTCAGTTACAGGTGCGTGTCCACCATGGTTTGGGTCCAAAACTGGGTCCAAAAGCTAATCCCACCCAGGGCTGGGTGGGATTCTGCTAGTGAGATAGAGTTTCTATTACAGAAATCCCAGTGCAGAGATGGCAGTGCAGAGATCCTCAACTCTCACCCCAAAGCAAAAATCCCAAACTGGAGATTTACAGGAAAATCCCAGTGCAGAAATGCTCAATACACACCCAGAGATCCCAACACAGGGATTCCAAAGTAGATATTCCATTGCAGGGATACCCTCAATACTGAGATCCCAAAAAAGGGATCACAGAAACAAGACCTTCAACACAGGGACCGTCAACACAGACACCCTCAACACAGAGACCCTCAACACAGGGATCCAGACATAGACACCCTCAACACAGAGACCCTCAACACAGGGATCCAGACATAGACACCCTCAACACAGAGACCCTCAACACAGAGACCCTCAACACAGGGATCCACACATAGAAACTCTCAACACAGAAATCACCCCATGAAGAAGAGACCCCAACATGGGGTGCCTGAGTGAGGAAGGTCCAGCCACTCACAGAGAGCGAGGCCAACTACGCAAGGTTGTACACGTCCTCTGGAGAGGATTTACAACAACGTTCTGCAAACCTGAACTGGCTCTCAGGGATGACTTCGTTAGTAAAGACTAATTCACACAGCATTAGACATGATGAGTATGAGCCTCTGCTCACTGTGAGTGGGTGTGTGTGTCTGTCGTCACTGAGCTGGTAAGTGATCACGTGGAGATGTCAGTGTAAGTTTAGTCCAGTGGCCTAAAGCTCTACAACTTATTAGAGCAGGCATGTCAAACTGGGGACTTCCGGTCTAAAGTGCTGTGGAGATCAGTGTTTACCCTCATCTAACGCTCTGAAATCAGTTCACGAAGGCCTTGCTAATTAGCTGATGAGCTGAATCAGGTGTGTTTAATAAGGCAGTGTGCTGAAGTCTGCAGTGTTTTGGCCCACGAGGACTGGAGCTTGACATGTGTGGGTTAGAGATCAGTATGTCCTGCCTCACCTACGACACACCACAAACCTCAGATCAGAGTCTGACCAACGTAAACAAACACAAACAGGACAGAAAAGGAAAGACGTTTCTGAACTGGCAAGTTTAAAGGATACAACACGGAAGGAACCTTATCCATAAAGAGGGTCCAACTACTTATACTGGTCAGTCCATTTACCTCAAATCACCTCAAAGCTCAGTTACAGGTGCGTGTCCACCATAGTTTGGGTCCAAAACTGGGGAAGCTAATAAGCATGACAGGGCTGGGTGGGATTCTGCTGGTCAGTAAATCTGTAAGATTCATTATGCTCAATCAACACAGTCGCAATGTGCACACCTGCCACACACAAACTGCAAAAGGCTTCAATGGTCCCAATAAAGAATATCCCAACACAGAGACCCTAAACACAGAGATCCCAATACACTGACCCCAACACAGAGATCCCAACACGCTGACCTCAACGCAGAGATCCCAACACGCTGACCTCAACGCAGAGATCCCAACACGCCCAACACTGAGAAAAGCTCTTTCTAGGAACCTCAAACGGTCCGTCTTTCTTTAGCTCTGTGCCGATTGCTGTAGCTCAGTGGGAGCTGTGTGGTGTTCTTTAGGATGGTCAGCTTTGGCTGAGCGATGTGAACTACCTTATTCTTATTCTGTAACTTTATTTTATTCAATAACTTAAATAATGTACGTTTAATTATAAGTTAGTATTAAAAATCTGTCCATGTCACAAGCATTTTGGGAAGAAGTTGAAAACTTCATTCTCGATGTTCTACAGCACTTCAGAACACATCCAACATTTCTTCATCAGACTGATTATTTGATAAAACCTGGGAATAAGTTGTTGAGCGCTAACATCATAGTATAGGCATTCATTTATCTGCACCTTCTTAATTTTGAAAACATTAGAAACTTTTGAGGCATCACCACAACACTCACCTGCACCACAGGTACTGATAGCTTTGAGGAAATGAGCTTTCAGCACTCACCAGACTTTCTACTGGATGTTCTTCTGGCACCGAAAGCCACGTCCACCACCATAAATCCAAACACGGCCCATATCCACAGAACTCGACTCAAACCCAACATCTTCCTTGTAAAGGAGGTCCAGCTGTTGTCAAATCAATCAAACGTTATTCTAGATCTCCATGACTCGCCTCGGCCTGAGAGGTGCAAAGCGTCTTTCCTAGCACACAAACGCTGTCGGCCTCCTGCAGACGTTTGGCATTGATGAGATTACTGAAGATCAGTCAGAGCAGCACACACTGCACAAGCCCCAAAACACCCCACACAGACACGGGCTCAGACTCACTGCACTGACTCCAGCAGCTCCTGGACAGCGTGGCCCTTGTTGGCGTGTCGTTAGGTCTGAGGTTGTCGCAGGGGGGTGAGGGGGGTCTGTTTTGTCTCCCGATTGATGGGGAGGGTTTTGGGGGGAGCTCTGAGCCACGGTACACTCAGGGTTAAGAGGATAATGGGTTTATCTACGCAGATGGAGCTCAAACTCCACTCCAGCTACTCACACCAATATAGCAACACAGCCAGGAGAGCAAGAACAAAGCACAACGCCTGGAACGAGTTACTTCTGCACATTAATAACTCTCTTCAGGTTCCACTGAAGTAATTATATTTATTCATAATTCCTTTGATTAAAATGGTTATTGTAATTTTGCTATTTGGTCTCAAACAGAGGAGGATAGCTTCTGAGTACCGGTTCTTCTAAGTGGTTCTTCCTCATGCTCTTAGAAAAGGTCTCCGTCTAACATTACTAAACGTGTAACTCACTCTTTTCCCTCTGTGATCTGGAGGAAGAAACTCCAGTTTTTATTTTTGGACCACATTTGTTATCATTACAAGCTGATAGCTCATCACACCTCAAATAAAGTCACTGAGGACACTGCGTCACGGTCAGGACCAACCCGAACCAGAGGTGGGTAGTTTAGGTCCAGAAAGTTAAACTGTCCCCCCCGGGAATCAGTTCCACCGAATCAGACTCTTTACCGCTGCTGATTTGAGCTAAATAGATGCCAGGCAGCAACAGGTTGATGCAGTACAGTGGCTTCTAGTGACCGAGCCTGGTATTAAACAATTCCTATAGCCATGTAACCCTACTGTCCTGTAGAGGGCGCCCTAACACCACTGTATTAATCCCTACAGTCAGTTTACACTGATCTACAGATCTGAGCTTACTGTGTTTAAATGCCCCTCACTGTCTGTTCAGCTTCAGTCTCAGAACTGCTTCATCTTTAAACCAGACGCTTCTCATAAAGGCACTGATCTGAAGGTTTATACAAACAGCCTGGAAACAAACCGAACGAGTGAACTTGGTGTTTGATTTCTTCATTATACTGTGGAATTTTAGCGAAGTTTAGAGAGGAGAAATATCGAAGCTCAGTCTTTCTGCCATTCTAGGTACTGTTAATGTTAATTAGTTGAAGATGTGTTCTCGTTAGTGCCTCTGAGCCAATCAGGTGTGGTGTTGGTACGTGGGGTCCAAACAGACCCCAAACAGATCAGTATTTTTGATATCAATCATTAGCATTGAAGCTAATTGAGTCCAATCATTAACCTTTTATCTAATTGATTCCAATCATTAGCCTAAGGTGATCCTGTGAGGCTGTCAGGCTCCGCCCCCAGGGTGGAGCTGCATAAGCAGCAGCCTATCAGATTGCACAAGCTCATTTCAGAGCCACAGAGCTACACTGTGCACTCAGTGGTCCCTCAGTGACTGTGGAGGAGGTAGAATGAAAGCAGCTTCCCAGGCAGGTGGATGTGGGCGGAGTCAGCTTTATTCTACCTGTCCACCTCTCACCTGAGCAAACTGTGGAAGCAGAAATGAGGGCGCGCTGCAGCACTGAGAGGGACTGGTCACGTGATTGATCAGGAGGAGGAGGACGCGGGAGCTGTGTGTTGGAGACGCAGTGAACGGTACGTTACTGTTTCCTCCATTACTGACAGTGAGGCGATTAAATAAACACGACCGTGAAACCGTAACTGATCCTCCTTCCACTGTGGTGGATCAGTGACGCTCGGTGTCAGGGAGGCTCTCCGAGTCAGGATCAGCGGTGTGGAGGCAGAGCGAGGAGAGAAACGCCGTATTACTGGGTGATATTACTGCCCTGCCTCGCTGACATCATCAAAATCAGACGTTTTAGAGGCCAAAATCACAGCAATTTGATAGAAGGTGATCGGACAACAAGAGTTTTTTAAGCTTTTTAAAGGTGACACTTTACTGTAGGTCAGCATTCATAACGCCACATAAAACCTGCATAAGACCATCATAACAACTGACCTGAATTACAAAACAACCCAAAACGGCAACTTTAGAGGAGAAAGAAGAAAAGTTCTCTTTTTAAAAGGAACTGGTTGAGTAACTTTGGGCCATTTCTATCTATCTATCTATCTATCTATCTGTCTATCTATCTATCTGTCTATATATCTGTCTATCTATCTGTCTATCTATCTATCTATCTATCTATCTGTCTATCTATCTATCTATCTATCTACCTATCTGTCTATCTATCTATCTATCTGTCTATCTATCTATCTGTCTATATATCTATCTATCTATCTATCTGTCTATATATCTATCTACCTATCTGTCTATCTATCTATCTATCTGTCTATCTATCTATCTGTCTATATATATATCTATCTATCTATCTGTCTATATATCTATCTACCTATCTGTCTATCTATCTATCTATCTGTCTATATATCTATCTACCTATCTGTCTATCTATCTATCTATCTGTCTATCTATCTATCTGTCTATCTATCTATCTATCTATCTATCTATCTGTCTATCTATCTATCTATCTGTCTATATATCTATCTACCTATCTGTCTATCTATCTATCTATCTATCTATCTATCTATCTATCTGTCTATCTATCTATCTGTCTATCTATCTATCTATCTGTCTATCTATCTGTCTATCTATCTATCTATCTATCTGTCTATCTGTCTATATATCTGTCTATCTATCTATCTGTCTATATATCTGTCTATCTATCTATCTATCTATCTATCTATCTATCTATCTATCTGTCTGTCTGTCTGTCTGTGGGTCTCTCTATCTATCTATCTGTCTGTCTCTCTGTCTCTGTCTGCCTCTCTATCTATCTATCTATCTATCTATCTGTCTATCTATCTATCTATCTATCTATCTTTCTGTCTGTCTGTCTGTCTGTCTGTCTATCTATGTCTGTCTGTCTATCTATCTTTCTATCTACCCATCTGTCTGTATCTCCTTCAGGTTCTGCGATGGACACCCAGTGAAAGATGAAGCTGCTGGACATCACCCTGGTCCTTCTGATCATGATCTCCAGTGTTTCTTCTAAGCCGCTGCTTCTGCAGAACCTGTACAGAACCAGATATTCTCTGTGTCCAGAACCGTTCTCTCAGAACCAGCTCACAGTGGAATCCAGAACTTCAGTAAAACACCAGCGTGAGTCGCACTGATCACTCAGACATTACTGCTGTCAGTATGGCAGCTCTTAATGACGTCAGGACCATTAAAGAGACAAAAAGTGAGTCAGAGAGTCTCTGAGATGTGAGTCTGAGTCGCTGAGGTGTAAATCTGTGTCCAGTCTTGAGTATCTGAGGTTTGAATCTAATGCTAACCACACACTAGAAGACTTTGAAAAGACTTTGAGAGACTAAAGTCTGACTCCCTCTCACATCTAAAGACAGTGTCGCGTTTTTTAGTCAGAGACTATGATTTTACAAAGACTGGGAATCTTGCAGTGTCATTATTTACAAGACTGCAACTAGATTTGAGATTATTCCCCATCATGCACCTGGTGGAAATTCACAAGCAGATAAACCCTTTTCCTTCCACTCTATGGTGGTACAGATGGGAGGATACGCTGGCTGGGTGTGTAAAGATCTGGGTAGTTCACTGTAGAGCTGTATATTCTGGCGGATCATCACCCAGAATCTTTAATTAACCTGTAAAATGTGCTGATACTTTTTAAATTTCATATAAACATTTACACACCAACACTACATGCAGCGATTCAGCATTGCCGACTGGGTGTCACGAACTAAACCATAAAAACAAACAAACAAAATAAGAAACCAGTGTAACAGAAAAAAATAGAAAATAATTGATTCTTCAGTAAAGGCGTTCTTAAAGTCCTCTGCACATTTCCTCACGAGTTACAGGCTCAGTGGACCCGAACTATTAAAGCAGTCAGTTTACATGTTAAGTTAATATGATTATCGAATTGAAATTGCCGTTTACAGAGATTTCAGGCAGTCACGCCTGCATTCTCTCTCTCTCTCTCTCTCTCTCTCTCTCTCTCACTCTCTCTCTCTCTCGCTCTCTCAATCGCCCCTGGTGCGTCACTATTTGCATGAGCCAAGACTTAAACTTACGATAATATTAAACACGGTTGATTTTGTCGCAGCGTCAAGACAAGAAAAAGACTGACTTAAGACCGCCATCTTGGCTACCTTACACCAAACGATCGAGAGGACGCGAGCGCGACTCGACTCTAACAAGTGATTTTATTCCGACATGGATATCTGTCTGCGACTGTGAAATCACTTGAAAAGTCGTTTGGTGTAAGGCCGGGATAAGTTGAGTCTAAAGTTTGTGTCCAGTCTCGAGTCTGAGGTGTGAGTCTGAGTCTCGAGTCTCTCAGGTGTGAGTCTGAATTGAGTCTTGAGCCTCTAAGATGTGAGTCTGTGTCCAGTCTTGAGTCTCTGAGGTTTGAATCTAAGTCGAGTCTTAAGTCTGTGTCCAGTCTCGAGTCTGAGGTGTGAGTCTGAGTCTCGAGTCTCTCAGGTGTGAGTCTGAGTCAAGTCAAGCTTCTGAGGTGTGAGTCCAAGTCGAGTTTCCAGTCCCATAGGTGCGAGTCCAAGTCGAGTTTCGAGTCCCATAGGTGCGAGTCCGAGTCGAGTTTCGAGTCCCATAGGTGCGAGTCCGAGTCGAGTTTCGAGTCTCATAGGTGCGAGTCCGAGTCTGAGTCCAGTCTTTATTATTAATCATTGGTGAACATGTTTAAATGATCTGTCTGAGCTGACAGGTTCACTCATATCACCTGTACAGTGGTAGTTACAGTGATTGGGATCATCTCTCTCTCACAGGTGATCTCAGGTCACACCTGATACTGTTGCCGTGGCGCAGTGAGGAGGAGTAGAGTTACACACCTCAGAGACAAACCACAAACACGCCTTTCTCACCGTCTCAGCTTACACACTGAGCCGTACGTCCCAGCAGTGTTCATTACCTGCACCGCCAGGTGTTCTCATTTACCTGAACAGCAACAACACTGGACACATCAAAGCCCTGCTGATAGTGTCTATAATCCACAGCAGGTGTCAGTGAGAGATTCGCACTGAAACTCTACACTTACCTGATGCTCAGGAGTCAACAGGCATCACTGCTGCTCTGTGGTTCTTCCAGTTTACAGCACTTCAATATTTAAATGTATTAACATAATTAATTACATAGTTCATTTGCATGTCATCTACATTCTGTATGGACAGATTCAGCCTGACCGCTGCACTCAGGAGAGAGTTCTAGCTAAACCAGTTTAGTCTCAGTGTGTGCAGTAACAAACAATGACTGCCCAAGATTAGAGAGACTCTGAAGGACTTTTCCATATATTTTCAGTGGGACTGAAGTCAGAAGGTTGTCTAGGACATTCAAACTCCTTCACCTTCGTCTTTAGAAACCAGTCTGGTTACTCTGGCTGTGCGCTTGGGGTCACTGTGTTGTTGAAACGTCCACCTTCTCCCCAGATTCGGTTTCTTGTCTGATGAGATTAAATTCTCTTCTAATATCTCCCTCTACAATCGCTCCACTCATGGTTCCAGATTATGAAGCAGCTCCAGATCTTCATGCTCCCACCACCATGCTTCACTGCGGGAGCTTCCAGGATCAGATGCTTCTTTCTCCAAACATGATGAGCTGAATTATCACCAGTTCCATTTTTTGAGTTCCGATTTGTCTAAATTCTTGTGTGAACTTTAGAGTCTCATCTCTGAACTTCGTCGTTATCAGAGGAGTTCAGTGAGGGGTCTAGCAGAGGAGATGGTTGTGGATCAGCTCGTTCTGCAGCTCATTTAAAGTGACTACTGGTTTCTATGTCACCTTCCTCGTGATCAGGCTGAGAGAACTCTTGTGTGGAGAACCTGGTCATGACCGTCCATTAACCTTCACCTGCATATCGTTTAACCGTTTGTACTGTTACAGATATGTGTAAGGTGTTTGTTAGGGCTCTATCACCTTCACCATGATTGCCGTTTGTTATATGAAATCTTCCCAGCCAATGGCAAAGTCTTCATAATGACACCAGGTCAAATCTGCACAGGAACATTTTTATTTTGATTTCTGTCTGGGGAAACTAGGTGGTGATTAATGTGCTGTTTGTGTGTTTAATTTCACTGTAAAGCACTTCAGTAACTTGTTTCTGAAGCTGTAACCTCTGTGTGAGAATCGGACCCTGAGGCTGGAGGAGAAGGTAGTAATGAGCGCTGCTGCCCAAAGTAGGACATTTTTACACTCAGCTAATAATCTGTAAAGTTAAACTAGACATGAACATTTTTCATATTTAGCTGCTGTTAGCAGTGCTTCAGAAACTGAAATCTGAATGTGAAATAATAATAATAAACCCATGCAGAGCATTACTGATATAATCAGACGCAGAAGACAGTCTTTTATGATGCTTTAATCAGAGAAAGAACAGAAATGCAGAGGATGAGATGAACACATCGTTTACATTATTCACTCCAACAGATACAATCTTCACACGGCTTTAACTGTCAGCGCTGATTTGGGCTGTTTAGTCCGAGGTCCTCTCAACTTTCACGGGTGCAGATTGTTTTCCAGATTGTGAAATGTTAGAGGTGGAAGTAAAGGATGTTTCTCGATCACTGAAGGTGATGCTGAGGCTGAGGCTGTAGATGTTCCGTGTTTTCGTGGGACCAGCCCGTATTCCAGATGAGAATCACTGTGCTGAATATACTGATATGTACAACACGTGCACACGAAATCACCCAATCACATCAGCCCTTCACAGGCGAACTAAGCTTTCTAAGATAGCATTAAGTTGAAACAGTGCAGGGAGAGATAGATTATGTGACCATATTTAAAAGGAGTGGTGATTATTCCGTCCACTGCATGGGAGTGCTGTAATAAATGGAGCTACAGTGCTGTACAAAACATTTTAAGGACCGAAAAACACTATTTAAAACCGCTTTTTACAAAGTAGTTGATCTAGTTTGAAAGGCAAAGTCTGGTTCCATATTCCTGCTGAATGCCTCCAGAATTCATGTTAAATTTGGATGGTAAACTCAGGGAATACAGGGCTTCGTCAAGGAGAGGCCTGGAAACAGTTAAACAAATACATACATATTCATAACATCACTGCTTACTGTGTTGATGTTCTGTGTTTACTCTAATTTCACTGAGCAAATAAAGGCCGACTGCTCAGATAAACACATTTACACTTCAAAGTTTCTCAGGTGCCCAAAACGTTTTCACAGCACTGTCTGTTTGTGTGCAGAGTAATAAATGGAGTTATATTAGTAAAAGCTGCAATAAATGAAGTTAGACTTGAGTGACCCCTACTACCCTCCCCTGTCCCCTGCTGGACCCCACACTATCTGGCCACTCTTACTTGTATGCGATGTAAAGGGAAACTCCATTATTGCCGCTGTTGAGGTTTTTCTCCACGATGTTGCAGACGCCGGCTCTTTTATAGACGCTCAGAGCGACTTCACCGACTAACACGGTGAGGAACTGGATGGCAGGAGCCTGGCTGTGCATGTACCACAGGTACACAGGGTCTCCATTGGCGACCTCGTTGAGGTCTTTATCGACCTTCGTGAAGCCCTTGGCCTGCAGCTCGATCTCCTGTTCTCTATTCAGAGAAACATCTATTTCAGTGATGCCTTCACCTTTGATCTTGGTTTGGCGGAACCAGGGGAACACTGCAGAACCGATAGGAAACGCTCCGCGGTTGGTGTCTTCGTCCACACGGACGTAGCCCTGCTGGAACAGCTCTTTGTCTTCAGAGAAACTCAGGGTGGCCGTGATGCTGCAGATGTATGTAGTCGCTTCCCTTAACAGCCAGACGTAAACTGGATGTCCACCAGCGTTGCGGTTCAAGTCGAGGCCCATGCGCTCCCAGCCGTTGAGGAACAGCTCCGGCTCCTCCTCCACCTTGGTGGTCACCTTCAGGTCCAGGACGGGGGAGTCGAACTGAGTGGTGCAACTCAAGTACCACAGGAATATGGGGTTTCCTGAGGTGCCGGTGTTGATGTTCTTGTTGATCAGGGTGAAGCCGGAGGCAGTCAGACCTTCGTTCATCTCTTCCATGAAGGAGAACTGGACTCTGGTGACCGCTCTGCTGGTCCCTCTTCTGTACCACAGGAACTCCACGGGCCCAGAAGTGCCGCTGTTGAGGTCACCAGGAACTCTGGTGAAACCTGCTTTTTCTAGCTTGTCCTCCTGCTCCTTGTTCAGGGAGATCTGGATTTCTGTGATTGGCTGGTTGTGGATTGATGTCATTTTGGGTTTCGATGGATTGACGAGTAAAGTAGCTGCTGTAAAAAAGGAAAAGAAGCCAATTTAGACCGTAATAGGCTGTCTCTGCAGGGTAGAGTCATAAGGGTATGTGGAGGCCACTTAATCATATCTGCCAAATTTCAACATCTCTCAATTTCCTCCGTTAATAAATAACATTTGGGCAAAAACGTGTTCATAAGATAAAACAGTCACCAATGAAATGGACGTATTCTACTGGATGCTGGACTGAAGGATCACCTGCTTATATACAGAAGAGGAGGTGAACCTCATTTTTGGGAGAAAGACTTCATCATCTCATTCCTGCACTTCAGAGAAGTCCATGGTTCAGTGACCTGACCAGGCTCTCCAGAGAACGCTGGGTTCTTCTCTGTGTTCTAAAGATTCTGTATGGTGTTATGAGTGTATTAACCTGAAACTGATTCCTTTCTGGGCCAATATTTCCTTTTATATTCATGTTATTGCTGCTTAAAACCATATAAATAGACCTTCTTTAACAATTCTTACAGAAAAATAAGCGTTTAGGCCTTAAAGTGTAAAAGCTAACAGCACATCAAAGATTTTCAGATGTTCTCATTTAATTACGCAATATTTCAATTTAATATGTTGAGGTTTGTTCATCTTGATAAAAGCTCCTAATAAACAGGATGAAATAAACATGTCGTTTACGGTTAATATACCAATCCATCAAAATCTAGATATTACATAACCTAATATTTCTGGTGGGCTGTAACTGAGACGCTAACTCAGTTCTGCAATGTTTGGATATTAATTTTGATAAAATGATAATACATCAAACACTACATAGAGTGATATCATGTACGTTTATAACAGGATGTAAACAACGTTTCTATAAACTAATTATGTATTAAACATTTACTGCAATATTTCCTTCATTATAACAATTTTGCATTTTAAGGACATCAAATATGTGCATGTCTGTAATATATAAACAAATATATTTCATATGCAGTCAGTTCACAAACACATCAAGATCTAGATATGATCAGTCCTGGACCAGGATTAAGACTAGAATGGAGATCTTTCCAGAACTCTGCTGAAGATGAAATGTCACTGTAACGTATTTAAGTGCCTCTCAGAGAAACAACCTTAAAACAAAGTTTAATACTAATAATAATAATAATAATAATAATAATAATGATGATGATAATAATACTCACTCAGTTCTTATCGTCGTGCGAAGGCAGGACTGTGTAAACCACCAGACTGAGGTCAGAACTGGTCCGAGTGCAGCCTCAGTGTCCAGCGCCTCCTTATATAGCACTAGAAGGCCATCATTACCATCTCATTAGCAAAAAAACAGGAAGCAGAACCGACATTTTGATGGTCTTTTCAACTGAAAACCCACCAAAACTTTCCCTCTGCCTATCAGTGGTTCCACTGCCTGTTGTTCAGCCTTCAGACGGTCTCTGAGAGCCTCGCCCTCCATTATCATCACTCCTGATACCACAGCTGTTTGACGTATCTGCAGGTTCTTACTGACAGCGCAGTAGAACCGTATCAGTGTTCTGTAGAAGGTCTAAACCCAGCACACCTGACTGACATGGTCAGCGGGTCAGCAGAGTCAGACTTGGACTGTGTCTCCAAAACAGGTAACAGGTCTAAAAATCCCTCTTTAACATCCCTAAACACGGCCTTTAAACCCACAGTCACTGCCATGACTCAGGGGCTGATCAGTGAATCAACACCACCACCAGAAATACACACATATATATAAATACATACATCACTGCTAAACCTCGTATCTCCAAAACGAACTTCACAGGAGGAGAAAAACATCCTGAGCTCTTAATGTAAGTCAGTGGAACCAGACGCTTTCCAAGTAAATTCGGTCCATTCATCATGAAACTTACACACAGCGTAAAGACCAATGAGCATTTTCACACTGTAGAAACTGATATGGATACACTGTGAAGGCATTTCATGAAGAATGGACCGATAGAAATGCTCCAAATTACTGAGAACACATTAAGAATGTCATAGTAATGTGTTTCTGTCCCCGTTTTAAAGATGAAATATACTCAGCACTGTTTATCTGAGCAGTCTGTGTGTGTTTACTGTGCATCATTACAATAAATACAAATAAATAAACACAGCAGAAAGAGAATTTTGTATTTTGAAAACAAAAAAAACAGTTTGAATCTGGTGAGCTGGGATTTTTTCCCCTTGAACTTTAATACTCCTTCAACAGAACAGACATTAGGGACGCCCAAATCTGTACTGGAGCCAAAGAACCGGGCCGGGGTGGTTAAACTGGGCCGGAACGCGTCTTCGGTACATCTGAAACTCATCAGTGCTGAATCATTCGACCGGCTGTGTGTGAGTGTGTGTCTCTATCAGCAGCAGCAGGAGCTCTAAACACACCCAGCACAGGAACTGAAATGCTCTCGAGGGTCAGAGGGGTCAGAGGGGTCATCACTGTTCAGAACAGCTTACAGTGAAAAACACAGCGGAACAGAGAATCACGGTCACTATCAGTCTAGTCACAGTTTAGTCACAGTCTAGTCACAGTTTAGTCACAGTTTAGTCACAGTTTAGTCACATCATCATATCAGCGCTGAGAATAAATCAGCTGTTCCAGCTGTTCACGCTGGAGGGCGGCGCTCAGGAGCCCCCGGCTCTGCGTCCCTCCGGAACGTGATTACGCCGCCTCTCCTGATCAGAGTGGTTAATTAGGCTGTAAGTGAAGTTTAATCTGTGGTTCCGTTTCTTGGCGCTCCGGCCGGCTCACTGACTAAGTGACTGGCTGTCTATGGAGACGCTGTAAATGTGTTACCAAAAGCTGAAACTTACTGTGTTTTCCTGCAACATCACCTCATTTCAGGGTTACAAAACATTCTGACATCTTTATTCATAGAATGCAAAGTTTCATGACAACTGACAGCTGTTATCTCATTGGGTAACGGACTGTTTGATGGACGTTGGATTTGCTGAAGCGCTAGAACACGTTCTTAGTTAATTGAGTTTGTTCCATTACCACAACACTGCTGACCTTCAAGCACTTACACACATAATGAAGTCATTAAAAACCACAGGTCACAGCGTATTACAGCCCATCGGACGGTCAGAGTGTTTTTCCTAAAACAAAATAACGCACTGTATATATGCATATATGCATATAGGTGTATAGGGGGCACTTACTTTGGGGCAGGATTTGCAGCTGGAACAGTAGCTTCAGTAGAGCGCCCTCCGGTGGCTACCTAGACCTACGATGTGTATATTCATGGTTAAAGCAACAGAATCACACTGCTAACCTAATCAGTCTCTCTCTCTCTTTCAGACTCTCTGTCTTCCCTGCGGGCTGAGCTGAAGCTGCAGAGGTCACCTGCGCCGCGGGGTTCTGCAGGGCGGGGCAGGTGTGGTCTGAGGCAGGTGCAGGTGAAGGTTTCGGAGCTGGGGCTGGGTTACCTCAGCCAGGAGGAGCTCGTGTTCCGCTACTGCAGCGGCCCGTGCCTCAACTCCATCACCAACTACGACAGAATCCTCACCAGACTAGCCACAGGCCGCAGGAGCATCCTGCAGGGGGCGCCACCTACAGCCTGCTGCAGACCGACTGCATACGAGCGCCACCTGGCGTTCCTGGGCGACGACCTGCTGTACCACATACTCAGAAAGCACTCAGCCAGACGATGTGGATGTGTGTGAGATGCTGGTTAAAGTGAGAGTTTGAGGAGGAATCAAATTCCCGCTCAATCCAAATGTAGCCAGGCGTGTTCGGGGTCCGAGGGGTCCGAGGACTGATTTGTTAGTTGAGCACTGGAGCTACGAGGCTAACAAATGGCTAATAAACCACCTTATTCACACCGTAGCTTCTGGACCACTCGTTTTATAAAAATGGACGAAAGTGCGTCAGTAGTAGCCGTTATTTTGAAGCCTGAATTACATCTGTAATTTTGTCCATTTCTTTTTTTAGTCCATTTCCCCACATTAGCTAGAACCCCTCCAAGCTGGGAGTGAAGGCCAGCACGTTCTTCCTCTGAGACACGTGAAGCTCCACCAGCTGCTGCTAACACGACGTCATTGTAGCTCAACACACTTGAAGGAGAACGCTAACTGCTAATTCTGTAATGTCAGCTAACGGACCAGGATTGGCTAGCATTGTGCTGAGAGATGGGGGAGGGGCCATCTTGGACTCCTGGCCAGGGATGGCTGTGGGATCCCTGCAAGAAAAACCAGCACATGTTGTGGTTGGGATGCTGGTGTGCTGGTCAATCAGCTAATCCAACACCAGACCTGTATAAATGGCCTTAGACCAGTTTAGTCCAGTCCAGACCCATAAGGAATCTCCAGGGATCGAACTCGTGGTCTCAGACGGCCGAACCACTCGGTCAAACCTTTTCACAGATAACAGTACGCCAAACTTCAGACACCAAACACGTCGTGGTTCACCGCATTTCACAGACTGAGTTACAATTTTCTGTCTGTTATTGTTGTTGTGGTGAATTTTTAGGCTCCTTCAAAACGATATATAAGGTTCTATCTGCAGTCCAATCAGTGCAGCTGATGAATGAGCGATAACCAATCAGAATTCATGTTTTGCCCACATGCTCAGCAGCTCAGCCATGAAGTTTAGTTAGATACGTCTGTAGACTTTGTACAGGATGTCCTGTGGTGGGAAGTTTAAAGCGTAGTAAAACTGCTAACTGAGCCACTCATTTACAATGATAGACACTTGTTTAGCACCAGCTAAAGTTAGCTTGGTAGCAGAAAGCTACTATTAGCGCCGTAGCTTCTGACAGGGTATGTACAGAACTGGTGGGATCAGATGACGTTGCACTCTATAACTAAATCTCCCCCACAGTGCAGAGCACTCAGGCTGACGTAGTTCAGTACCTTTATATTATGAATGAATCTGTTCTGAGACTGATCACCTTTTATAATCGACTGTCTGGATGTTTTTAGTTATCGTGTTCATGACTGATGCGGCTCATAAAACCTGTGCATATATTTGTTAATAAAATGAATGTAAACGTTGAGCTAAACTGGGTTAAACAGCTGCCTTTATATTCACCCACATTCAGGACCTCAAATAAGGAGCAGGATTCTAGTTTTTTTTTCTCAGCACTCCTCGTATGTTCAGGACGCCCAACTCAGAGTTTCAGAGGACTAAAGTAGGACGGAGCACACATATCAGTACATCAGTAAGAACTTAAACCCACAGGAGGATTTATTAGAAAATATATTTTAGAAAACCAGATTGGGAGAACGTTTGTTTTAGAAATGCCATCAGTCAGTTTTCAAAACGTAATTTTTTAAATATGTGTGTTGTAGTACTCCTACATTTCTCCCAAACCTATTAACTCGTTTCAAAATGAAAAAACTTCAAAAAGGCTTTAAACCAAGAATCCATTTAGTTCTTACCATCAGAAGTCACTAACTTAGTTTTTTCTTCTGAATAGTTTTTGGATTATTTACATGCAAAAAGTACAGCTGTTCTCACATCGTAATACATTAATAGATACATTATACATTTGTAAAGATGAAGTATTTCACTATACATCCTGTTTGTGAGGTAATATGATCTACTTCTTGTTGCTGAGAGGTCTATAATGCTGATAACTGCACTGTCCAACGTTCCAGCTCAAATATCAGGAAAGCTTTTATCTCAGCCAGGTCTGGAAAACATTAGTCAGAAAAGAAGCAGAACTTGGAAATTCAGATGAAATTAGGTCAAATCAGTGTATCAGGGCAACAACACTGCATTAGAAAAGGTGTTATAATGCATTAAAAAAGCATCAATAGACTACGACACAGCCGGCGTCCCCTCAACTGACTACGACACAGCCGGCGTCCCCTCAATAGACTACGACACAGCCGGCGTCCCCTCAATAGACCACGACACAGCCGGCGTCCCCTCAATAGACTACGACACAGCCGGCGTCCCCTCAATAGACCACGACACAGCCGGCGTCCCCTCAACTGACTACGACACAGCCGGCGTCCCCTCAATAGACCACGACACAGCCGGCGTCCCCTCAATAGACCACGACACAGCCGGCGTCCTCTCAATAGACCACGACACAGCCGGCGTCCCCTCAATAGACCACGACACAGCCGGCGTCCCCTCAATAGACCACGACTCAGCCAGCTTTTGGGAGAGGAATGTTGTCCCATTCTTGTCTGATGTAGGATTCTAGCTGCTCCACAGTTCTGAGTCTTCTTCGATGGATTTTTCATTTTATTATGCTCCAAATGTTTTCTGTTGGTGAAAGGTCTGGACTGCAGGCAGGTCAGTTCAGCACCTGGACTCTTCTTCTGTGAAGCCATGCTGTTGTGATGGATGCAGTATGTGGTTTATTGTCTTACTGAAATATGAAGGCCTTCCCTGAAAGAGACGCTGTCTGGATGGGAGCAGATGTTGTTCTAAAACCTCTGTATACTGTTCAGCATTGATAGAGGCTTTCCAGATGTGTAAGCTGCCCACGCCAGAGGCACTAATGCAGCCCCGGACCATCAGAGATACAGGCTTTTGAACTGTGCGCTGATAACAAGCTGGATGGTCTAACCCTAATCCAAAAAGAATTTCAAATTTTGATTCGTCTGACCACAGAAGAGTTTTCCATTTTGCCTCAGTCCATTTTAAATGAGTTTGGCCCAGAGAAGACGGCAGTGTTTCTGGATCGTGTTGACATATGGTTTCTTCTTTGCATGATACAGCTTTAACTTGCATTTGTAGATTTCATGTCGTGTTCACAGATTTCTGGAAGTGTTCCTGAGCTCATGCAGTGATTTCCAGTACAGTACAGTGCTGCCTGAGGGCCCGAAGATCATGAGCATCCAATACTGACCGTTGGCCTCATCCCTTGCGTACAGGGATTTCTCCAGATTCTCTGAATCTTTTGATGATATTAGGTACTGTAGATTATGTACTTGTAGTTTTTCCAATTTTATGTTGAGGAACATTTTTCTGAAACTGTTCCACAAGGTTTAGATGCAGTTTTTGGCAGATTGGTGAACCTCTGCCCATCTTTGCTTCTGAGAGACTCCGCCTCTCTAAAACGCTTTTTATACTCAGTCATGTAGTCAATCAGTCAACTCAGTTGCAAACTGCTCCTCCAGCTGTTTTTTATTAGTACCACTTACTTTTCCAGCCTTTTGTTGCCCTGTCCAACTTTTTTGAGATGTGTTTCTGCCATCAAGCTCTAAACGAGTTTAGTTTTTCATGAATGGTAAAATGTCTCTCTTGGAACATCTGAAATGTTTTCTGTGTTCTATTATGAATAAAATATGGGTCTGTGAGATTTACAAATCATTGCATTCTGTTTTTATTTACATTTATTTACGTTTTACACAGCGTCTCAACCTTTTTGGAATTGGGGTTGTATGTTCAAAAATACCCACACACTCCATCTAATGGTAGCTTTGCATTGAAAATCTAAAAAAATATTTCTGTAGACCAAAAAATATTTTTCTTCTGGTAAATTCAAAAGTACTGCAGAATAAAGAGCTCCGCACTACGACTGTCTGAAATGGTTTGGATCATGTGAACGTCTTCATTCATACAAACACCCAGAGGAATCTGGAACTGTGATCGGTTATACAGGCTCATTTGCATACTGCAGCAGCAGTGCTGCAAGACAACATGATGGTAATTAGCAAACAATATACTGAGCTGTGTTTCCTCCAAATCCCTCCTCATGGTGAAATTCCTCATTATATCCGCCAGAAGAGGAATTCTACAGGGAAGAATCCTGTTGAGGCAGTTTTTCTCTCACTAACACCTAAATATTTTCATCTATCACCAAAAGGAAAAGTCTTTTTTTAAACGTTTAGACAGTAAAAACTAAAACAGCGATTAGAGTGCAGTTAACCTGCCGTCACAGAAAGCTGCCACAAAACTCCACTTCCTAACGGAACACAGGTAACGCACAGCTGTGGTGGTTTAAGGACTAACAAGCTCATCTGTTAACATGTAATTAACGCAGTTCGAGCACATTAAAATGGACTCTTCTGTATTTTTGACATATTTAAATGTAAAACAGAGATCGGCAGGAAAAGTAAATAAAGACGATCGTGGGCGTTTTAGAGACCAGATCCATCCAGCGATCATGCACCTCGTTCTAGTTGATGGTACCATGAGAGAAGCGGGTCAGATCTGAGCTGCTCTGAAGATCAGTGTTACAGGTCACTGGCACCACTGTGTTCCTCTCCTCACTGTCACTCCATGCAGGTGTAAACGCAGTGAACACTGTAAAAGCCAAATAAATCCCCTTTGTTACACAGCAGCACGTCTCCACTTTCGTTTCTTTGTTTTTGCTTTTTTTACAAAAATTGTAACTTTTACATTTTTGTAATTATTAGCAACGAGTGGACCAACAACAACGGTCTCCGTTTTGGAGATACGAGGCTGGGCTGATACCCTGCTTTAAAGGAGGTAGACCACCTTTTGTGAAGATGTGGAGAAACCCCCCGTAGACCTGCTCCCAGTGTCCACTCAGGGTGGACACAGCATCGTATGTGTTAGATGAGGTCGTCTGTCTCAGTCGACTGAGACACAATAAAGCCTCAGTTTCTCCGTCTGAATATATTTCTATATAAACACTCAGCACACGTCTGATCTTTACTCTCCCCACAGCTACTTTCCATGTTGTTCTTCTTCCCTCGACTCATAGAAGCTTTACCTGAATGCTTAGTAACACTTTTCTTCATGTGGTGGTCACCTGTGATAGCAGAGTTCTGAACTGACCGACTGGTGTTCAGTTGATGATCAGCAGTGTTTGTGGATCAGACGTGTTTGTGTGATTTGTTCCTCTGCTTCTGGTGAACTGAGTTTGATTTTTGGAATTTGTGTTTGAGGTTCTGGTAAAAACAGGACAGAAAGCATGTTCTAGCAGCTGTGACCTGGAATATGAAGTTCTGTGAGGGAACAGCAGGACAGAGAGGCGTCAGTTAAGAGAAGTAGAAAATTTATTGCAGTATTTATTCCATCAGTGGACCCGCCGTTCCAGCCAATCGCGCGCGGCCGCTGCCCCGGGCTCCATACTGCATGCTTTACACAATAAATTACATCCACACCCTGCTATCGTACAAAAAACGGACAAACAGCTCCACAGAGAGAAGAATCATCCGCCGTTCAGAGGAAGAGCCAAACTATAAGAAAGCCTTCTGGCGCTAAGAAAGAAAGGAAAAAATGTAAAAACATCAACAAACTAATTTTTCTTCAACATTCAGTAAATATTTAAATTTCTTTTATAGATATAAACAATATTTTTATGTTAAACTATGATACAGAGGGAGTAGAAATCAAAGCAAAGGGAGTTCTGCTGCACAGCAGCGAAAAAGCACCCGTACAAATGTTTCACCATTTCAGTCACCAGCGCCTCACACACACACACACACACACACACACACACACACACACACACACACACACACACACACAGCATGGGGAGGAGTGTGTAGTGTAACACAGCGCAGTGTGTGTGAGCGGACAGAGATCAGTCTGGTCCTGATTAAACTCAGACACAAACCTGAACGGGACAGAGACGCACCGACACCAGCAGCCAGTCTGGGCCCAAAACCTAAAACAGCCCCAAAACTCAGAACAGACATTCAGAGCAGTTTGGTGTGAAATGGTTCAGGTGTCTTTACAGTGGTGCTGATAGGAACCAGGGGTCGCCATGACTACAACACAGATATAGACATTTTATTTCCTATCCAGAACCACCAGTGAACCTACACGAGTCTTCTGAGTTTATATGAATGTTGATGATGAAAATAGTGGAAAATCTGAAATATTAAGTTTTCTTTGGGGACTATTTTGCCTCACAGCGCCCTGCATGTATCCCTCCACCATGAATGGAGTTTAAGTTCTCTAAACTATCATAAAACAGTGTCTCAGTCATCAGGCAGTGAATTCATAACCATTTACTGTAGGAACTTTCTGTGAGGGAGCTTTTAGAGGTGGACGTCTGGTTCCCATCACCACCACTGTGAACAGTTCTGACTCGGTAAGTTTATCTAGAACAGAGCGTTTCACACCAAACCACTCTGAATGACTCTGAACGACTCTAAATGAGTCTGTTTACATCTTAACTGTTTAATTATGGAGGATTTTGGACATGAGGGCATTATTTGCCCCTGAGGAGCGGAACGAGGATCCAGAGCAGGTCGCTGTCTGTTGTGTTCTGTGTTTTGGTTTCTTCAGTCAAACTTCTTGGCTGTTTATCTCTTTAGGCCGAAAACCAAAAGTGCCATTTTTGACTGTTTTGGGCCACAAGCTTTGGGTGACTGAGATTCCGGTGCGTCTCTGTTGTTAATGTGTGTGTGTGTGTGTGTGTGTGTGTGTGTGTGTGTGTGTGTGTGTGTGTGATGTGGTGGTCTGTGCGGATTAGCTGGAGTTCCGGTCTCTGTTGGCGTAAATGCCCCGCAGTGTCTGGGCCAGTTTGTGGCTGATCTTGTTGCCGCTGGTCAGTGTGATTTTTTTGTAGACGATGTCTGATTCGCGGATGGTTTCCATCCACGGCACCAGCTTGCGTCCGTCTCTGCGCTTGGCCTCGGACCAGGGGCTGGAGTACGAGCCGGCCATCCACTGGACGCTGTAGCCCTCAGAGATGCGCTGGATGACCCTGGCCAGCTGGGGGCGGTCCCTGTACCGTGGACAGTGGATGGCTATGATGTCCAGCGCGCTGACCGATTCGTTTAGGTTGGCCTGCAGAGTGTCTGCGCTGTCTGCGGCTCTCCTCCCGCGCCGACTCGCCTGCAGGGGGCGCAAAAGCTCAGCGTTAAAGTTCAGCTACACACCACATATTTGAATAGCTGAGTGGTGGAGCTAAACTGCTGTAGCTGAATGGTGGAGCTAAACTGCTGTAGCTGAATGGTGAAGCTAAACTGCTGTAGCTGAATGGTGGAGCTAAACTGCTGTAGCTGAATGGTGAAGCTAAACTGCTGTAGCTGAATGGTGGAGCTAAACTGCTGTAGACTGAATGGGTGGAGCTAAACTGCTGTAGACTGAATGGTGGAGCTAAATTGCTGTAGCTGAATGGTGGAGCTAAACTGCTGTAGACTGAATGGGTGGTGCTAAACTGCTGTAGACTGAATGGTGGAGCTAAACTGCTGTAGACTGAATGGGTGGTGCTAAACTGCTGTAGACTGAATGGTGGAGCTAAACTGCTGTAGACTGAATGGTGGAGCTAAACTGCTGTAGACTGAATGGGTGGAGCTAAACTGCTGTAGACTGAATGGGTGGAGCTAAACTGCAGTAGACTGAATGGGTGG